ATCAAAAGAAACAATTTCAAAAGTAATATAAAACATATCTTAGACATTATCCATTGTGGTACCATTTAAAAAATCAAAATATATTTCATTTCTCTTTTAACAGCAAGTGGAACATAGATATATCCATGTGGTGGGATTATGGGTATTTTACATCTTCTTCTTTATGGTTTTATGTAATTTCCAAATGTTCTCCCATGACTGTGGATCACTTTAATGATCAGAAAATGAATATATTATAAAAAATAATGAACCCCATTACTAAGACATTAATTTGGGGCTATATGTTTGCAGTGCAGTGAATTACTTACTCTAGCCATAGTTTTTGTGACTCCCACACAACGACTGGGTGGGACTATAAAAATAAGGTGCTTGTGGCCCACCAAGGGGATTGGACAGCTTGCTGCTAATGCGAATAAGGTATATGGAACCTGTGATTGTGTAAGGTTATGTGTCAGCTTTGCTGGGCCATGATTTTCAGTGGTTTGGCAGTTAATGTATTGATGTAATTTGGCAGTCATGTAAAGATGTAGTTACCCTCCATTTTGTGGTTTGATGTAATTGTTCTCCATTTTGTGATCTAATTATCCTCCATTTTGTGACATGTTGTAAATCCTAGGCTCTATGCCTGTGGTTATGGTTCCATTTGGGAATGAGTTGTCTGCTATGTTAATGAGGCAGGATTAGGGTGGAATGTATCTTGAGTCACCACCTTACTAGAGGGTGTGATTCAACTCACCACCCTCACCCCAGTCACCACACTTACCACCCTTATTCAAGTCACACCCTTGTACTGCCTTGCTCAAGTAAGGGGAGTTTCCTTTAGGGTATGATTTGCATCCAATATATATGAATGCTCTGGCAAAGTTATCTCTCTTGCTCTGGATCCTGCATCCACTGGGTCATCATCTGACCTCTGGTTCTTGGAACTTGAGACAGCAGCTTATCACTGACCTGATTCACCAGCTTCTGCAGGCTTGTGAGCCAGCAGCCTGCTGTCTGACCTGCTGATTTGGGTTCATCAGCCCTTGCAACCACATAAGTCAGGAGAAGCCTCCAGCCTGATGCCTGACCCATGGATTTGGGAATTGCCAGCTTCCACAACCACGTGACCCATTTTCTTGGTGGTTCATGAGTTCCCTGAAACTTTGCAGTGAATTACAAAACTCAAAGACAGGAGCAAGCATACTGAGGGGAGGAGGAGTAGTTGATGTTAGAGATGACGGAGTGGTACAGCAGTTTGGAAAAGTTGGACAATTGGGACATCTTTTTTTTTTAATTGTACATTAGGTGAAGGTTTACAGAACAAATAGTTTCTCATTAAACAGTTAGTACACATTGTTTTATGACATTGGTTAACAACCCCACGACATGTCAA